CTTTTTGCTGTCTATTACAACCGCGTCGGGCTGACTTAAGCAATTCTGTGCTCTGTCCAGAACATTCAAGGAACGGTTCCTCATTTTTAAAAAGCCAGCGAGAGAGACGACAGAGAGAAAGAAAAAGAGAGGAGGGGGTGAGGGGGACGCACATAAACCCAGTTCAGGAAAAAAAAAATCATCACCTCTCCGCCAGGGACTCGGGAAACGCAGAGGTGGCGAGATCCGAGTCCGGTCCAACCAAGCCAGAGCCAATTAATTTTAAATCCTGGAGAATTATTCAGATTAAAATGTACAGAAGTTTCATTCTCCTATGCCTACGTGAGCACAAAGTCGTTTCCCTTTAAGAGCTCTTTTCTTTTAAAGTTGAATTTTAGGCAGCGAGGACTCTTACACTAGGGGGCAGACAGATACTGTACTTGCTCCAATCTTAAGCAATTTTTTCCCTCCCAGCATATGCTCTGATTTAGCACTGTAAATTTTTCAGAGGACCCAACTCTGACAGCCCCTGGTGATTTTCAAAGTACCACAAGCCAGTGGTTAAAAATTGCATTGACTTGGAAGTTCAGAGGTACACAATGGAAGCCCCTTTCCCTATTCATGGAGCTCCAGTGTGGTGGAAGAGAAAAACACACACGGACTAGATTGAGGGGAAAGAGGAATTCAATGAATCCTGGTGGACAGAACTGGTTTCTACTGAGTTCAGAGTTAAACTCGGCATTTGCTGGGGTCTGCATTCATATTGTGATTTAATTTGTGGAGAATTACAGCCATCAGGCCACTTTCTGCAAGAAAATCATATTCCTGGGTGGCTTTTTTTTTTCCTCCTACAGTAAGACAAATGTTTTTCCAACTTTCTCTGGCCAAATTAAAGCTCGCCATTCTTCTTATTAAAATAAATTTATATCTGCAATAAAAAAACTGAGCTGGATTTAAAAAAACAGTAAGAACATATTGATATTTATCTTTTAGACTTAGAGCTGTTTTACTCAAGGAAAATAAACATCTCTGAAGAAGACATTTTAAAATATTTTCCCCTCTTTTTTTTTCTCAGTCTGCAGCCCTCTTTCTTCTATACCATCATATTAACTATAATTGATATGGTCTTTTTGTTGTTGTTGTTTTGGGGTGTGTTTATTTATTTATTTATTTGCTTTTTAATAGCATCCCCATAACTGAAGGAATCCTAAAGTACAGAGTAAAACACCTCTTAACTTCATGGCAGCCCTGTGTTCGTGTGCCTCGTAGGCTCCAGATCTGTAGTTGATGGTTGGGAAATCCTACATTTTAAATCTGAGGCCATCAGAGCATACTTCAAATGCCTAAAATCTCTAAATGGACTGACGAAGCTCTTCCTCCTCAAAATTTTCCCACTGCATGTTTGTAAAAGTCATCTTGCTGTGAAAGTATCTGCACTCTAAAGGCAAGTTTAGGATTTCCCTATAATCAATTATTCTTATCTTCTATTAAATTGGGATGGGGATGTTCATTAGATTTCCTGTCTCAACCCCAGCCCTACCACAACTCTGCTGAGTCTGCCCCCAATCTACTGATATTTGTAGCATTAAGCAATTCCTCGCATCAGAGAGGTTGAAAAGAAAAAGAAAAGAAAAGGAAAAAAAAAACCTTCTCTGAAATGATTTCTTTTCCATCCTGCTTGTCCTCTTTGGGAGAAAGTTATATTGTGTCTCTAATCAACCTGAAATTCTCAGCCTGGCTTCGCTCTGTGGCAGTCTCATTACACACCAGGTTTATGATAGTTCAGTGTCCACTATAGGTTTTTTTTTAAACAACTTTCAAATCATCCCAGCACCTGCAGCTTTAGTGAAATATGTGATTTCAGCGGAGAAAGGGTAAAAGGCTAAGAAGGTTTCAAGAATGAAACATAAGAAGGAACTTTCCTTCCCTAAAAACTAGCCCCTATCTGCCTCCATCTGCACTTAGATCCTACCTTGTGTTCTGCTTGCGTGTATAAAGGGTATTGAATGCAAAGTACAGTCTACAAATGTCAATGATATGTATGGTTTATTTTTTTAATCTTCATCTCGTCGATTTTTTTAAACTATCAAGGATGCTTTTCTGTGGTCATTAATTTACTCTTTCTATGTGTTCATGTTTCTTGAAGCGCAGTGTGTTTTGTATAAAATATCTTACTTATTCACAAACCTGGTTGGATTACCAGTCTACAGTTTTTTCTTGGTGCAAAGCATGTATGATGGAGTCACAGTTTTGTTCTATGAATGTTCAATAATCATAATCCACCAACTGGTCCCAATCGAACAGAAAGGTTGCTGCATTGGAACATAGTGTGTGCTGAGGTGCAATTCTAGATGTTTGATGTTTCAAACCAAACACCCTGGAATTCAGGGACACCACCGGCTTGATGATTTTAGCACATTGAGCAGAATGACACAGGCAATGAAGTTGTTCTCATTGCAATGAATCTCTTGAGGTAGAATATGGCTTGTGCGTGGTCCTTGTGAGTTGTACTTGGTATTATTCCCAATTTGGGGCAGAATCTCTGGGTGTGTTTTAATGATTGTATGAATGCTTAAAAGGAACTTGAGGAACAATGAAGTCGTACTCAACTGTTCTATGACCTAGAAGCACTGTCGCTAAAGTCTTTGTATACATTGACAAATGTGCATCTGATACATGTGCGCTTACATGTGTGTACAGAGGGTATGCACAGGGGTGGCTGGGAGGCTGCCTCCACTTGGCCATCAGCGAGAAGAAAGGTCTTTTCACCTCTCACCACGACTGGGTGTGTGGCAGGACCTTGGCTTGCGAGTTAGCTAAAACTAACCAGAAAGGATAAAGTTGAGGAAAATTGATTTTAATTGCGTCATGACAATGAGACGAAGTCTACTTCTGCTTCTCAGCATCCGAGATGCTTTATTTGAGCAATTAAAATGTCAGGCCACATACCTGTGAAATGTTAACCCTACAAGGAAAAGACAGCCACTGAACGGCTCTTTTTCTCGAAAAGGAAAAAGAAAAAGAAATAGCCACCAAACCAAGCAAGTGACCAAAGTTGATTAAGGGAAGGGTCTACCATCACGCCGATTTGACCAAATCTTTCGTTTGGAAAATGCCTGCAAGCTCGGTTCGAGGCACCTCCCCACCCCACTCACTACCCCTCTGCAAAGAAAGGGGAACTTTTCTCTTTCTCTGGCACCGTAGGCACAAAGATGCGCCGGGAGTCCCGGGTGGTGCGCGAGCGGCGGATTTCGTGGCATTGCCAAGTTGCGAGAGGCGAAGTCCTCGATTCCATCCAAAGCCTCTCGCGGAGCCTTTAAGAGGCGTTGTGTGTGCGCGCCGCGTTCCTCTCCCCGCTGGGGCGGAAACCTCGGGTGCGGGGTGCGGAGAGAGCCGTGGCCGCGCACCCGGGGCCGGCGTGGGCCCATCCCCCGCTTGGCGGCGGCGGCGGCACGGCCGCCCCCTCCCC